GTGAGCCGAGATCGCGCCACTGCACTCCAGCCTGGGCGACTAAGCGAGACTCTGTCTCAAAAAAAAAAAAAAAAAAAAAAAAAAGTTATGGATCATTTGCTTAACTTTAAAGCAGAAACAAAACCAGAACTACCCCCAAAACGTGTTGAGTCACTTCTAAGTCACTCTTTTGTTAACTCTCCTTTTCATGTCACATATTCTTGTCGATTCCAGTGATTGATCAAAGGACAGCTCTTCACTTTCCCTCATCCCTTGGACACCCTGTTTTATCCCATCCTGTTTGGCTTTTCTCACACCTGCAACCACAGACCTATCTGAATTTGTGTAAGGTTTTCTGAAAAAATGTTCCTTCTTGTCGTGTGGCCGTTTGTCCATCTCCATGTGCTTGCCTTGTAGGTGGGCACTTCCTCTGTGGTGTACCCAGCAGCCATGTTTGCCCCCCAGGTGGCTGCCAGGGGCGTGCCAGTGGCAGAATTTAATACGGAGACCACCCCAGCTACGAACAGATTCAGGTACTGGGATACCCTGATGGGAGAGGGCGATGTGGGAGGCAGGTGCAGACATGGTCATCTAAACATAGTTGACCTACTCCTCTAATTTTTAAAAAAGACACAGGGTTTGTGTTTTTTTGTTTGATCTGCAGTTGCTTTTATGGAAGAACAAAATCATTCACTGTAGACTAAGGTAGGGTAGCTCTGTCATTGTACATGACATTTGCCGTGGGACTTTTGTTTGTTCACATTTTAAAAGCTCTTCTTTGATTCCTTAGGCTTTGCTTTCCCTTACATTTTTAAGCTAGACTTAGTGATGGCCTTTAGTTGTAGGTTACCCAGATGCTCCGCAAGTAAGCCTGGGAGATGCCCTTGCAGAACCTCATCACCTGCCGTTCTCACTGGGAGGCCATCTGGCAGATTCCCCTTTGGTCTAATCGCCAAGGTTATCTGTATCTGTGGCCATGTTATGACACTGATCCTGCTTCTCAAGTTTGGGTGAGAAGTGTAGATTGTCATAGTATGCATTTTTAGTCTTATTCCTGGGTCTGTTTTATGTCTTCACCCTTCTGTCTTTTTTCTCACTCCAACTTTTTTTTTGCCTTTACTTCTTATTCTTGTCCATCTAGTTAATTCCTTTTGAATAAGTTAGACTATAAAAAAGTAGTAAATGAATATAAATGAATAAAATAGAAAACTTCATTGAAACATCTTGTCATTACTTTAATCAGCAGTTTCCAACCTTGGCTGCATATTTTAAAAATACTGATGCCTGGGGGCCACTTCATGAAATTTCAGTGTCATTGCTCTGAGTTGCAGCCCAGACATCATTTGATAAGCTTCCTAGGTGATTCCAGTGTGCAGCCAGGATAGGAACCACTCTTCAAAGTCTCTGCTGGGATTTAAAAAAAAAAAGGAAAAAAGAAAAGGGGCCACAGACACTTAAGTAGGCCCCTCCTCAGGTGAGTGAACTGGCTCTGGGCCTCTTCTTTTCCATGTGTCTTTTTGATCAGCTACAGCCTGTGTTCTTGATCCATAGTTCTTCATTTGTGTGTGAGTAGTAGGAACTAAGAAGATAGCCTTAAAAAAAAATTGCCTCCTATGCTAAACTTATACTTTGAAAACTACAGAACATTGCTGAAAGAAATAAAGAAGGCCTAAATGAATGGAAACATATCCAATGTTCATGGATTGGACAACTTAATATAATTAAGATGGCAGTGCTCCCCAAATTGATCTGTGGGCTCAATCAACTCAGTCCTTATCAAAATCACAACTGGCTTTTTACAACAATTAATTGAAAAGATTACTCTAAAATTCATATGAAAATGCAAGTGACCCAAAATAGCCAAAACAAAATGAAAAATGAAGTTGGAGAACTCATACTTCCCAATTTCAAAACTTACTACATATTAGCTGGGCATGGTGGCACATGCCTGTAATCCTAGCTACTTGGGAGGCTGAGGCAGGAGAATCAGTTGAACCCTGGAGGTGGAGGTTGTGGTGAGCCGAGATTGCACCATTGCACTCCAGCCTGGGCAACAAGAGCAAAACTCCATCAAAAAAAAAAAACAAAAAAAAAACCTTACTACAAAGTTGCAGTGATCAAGATGGTGTGGCACTGGCATAGGATAGATATATAGAATCAGTGGAATAGAATTGAGAATCCATTAAAAAGGAAAGCAGAACAATAAAACAAAACCTCACATTCATGGTCAGTTGATGTTTGAGAAGAGTGGCAAAACAATTTGATGAAATACAGTCTTTTTCAAGAAATAGTGCTGGATATCCACATGCAAAAGAATGAGCTTGGACCCCTCTGTCACACCATACACAAAAAATAACCCAAGATGGATCATAGACCTAAATGTAAGAACTAAAAGTATAACATGTCAAAAGAAAATGTAGGAGTAAATCTTTGTAACCTTGGGTTAGTGAAAGCTTTCTTAGATATGACACCAAAAGTGCAAGTAACATAAGAAAAAAGGATAAATTGGACTTTATCAAAATTTAAAACTTTTATACTCCAATGGGTACCGTCGATTAAGTAAAAAGACAACCCATAGAATGGGAGAAAATATTTGTAAGTCTAATATTTGATATTTGATAAGGGATTTGTATCCAGGATATATAAAGAACTCTTACAACTATAAATAATAAAAAGACAATCCAATTAAAAACCAGGTCAAAATATTTGAAGCGATATTTCTCCAAATATATACACATGGCCAATAAGTATACTGAAATGATGTTCAATATCATAAAACCACAGTGAAATATCACTTCATAGCTACAAGCTTGGCTATAATTTTTAAGATAAAGGAAAATCACAAGTGTTGGTGAAGAAACTGGAACCCTTATACATGGCTGATGGGAATGTACAATGGGGCAGTCATTTTAGAAAACAATGTGGCAGTTAAATATAGAGTTACTATGTGATCTAGCAATTCTACTCCTTGGTATATAGTCCTAGAAATGAATCATACATCTACACAAAAATTTGTACACAAATGTTCATAGCAACTTGTTCATGGAAAAAGTGGAAACAACCCAAACGTCCATCGACTGAAGGATGAATAAATAAAATTTGGTATGTTTGCACAATGGATTATATTTTAGCCATAAGAAGAATGAGGTATCCATATATGCTACTACATGGATGACCCTTGAAAACGTTATGCTAAGTGAAAGAAGCTAGTCATAAAAGACCACATATGGTATGACTTCATTTATATGAAATATCCAGAATAGGCAGATCAATAGAGAGAAGGTAGATGAGTGGGAGCAGATGAGTCGAGAAGATTTTGGCTGGGAGTAGGGAGGAATGGGGAGTGGGTGCTAATGAGAACAAGTTTCTTCGAGGTTGTTAAAAATGCTCTAAAAGTCTATTGTGGTGATGGTCGTATAATTCTGTGAATACACTAAAAGCCACTGAATTATATATTTGAAATAGGTGGATTGTATGTGAATCAAATCTCAATAAAGCTGTTATATAAAAAATTAAATTATCTTCTAACTTATCTCCTGAAAAATGCCCATTAGGCCTCCCTCTGATTTGTGTTGTGGCACCTATGTGTAGCAGCTGGGCCACTTAGCATGACTAAGAGTAGTAATACCAGAGCTAGGTAGTTCAAGCCTCCTGTCTGTTTGAAAGACCATCAGAAAACTCAAAGAGTGGGACAGGATGAACTTTGTGAAGCAGGACATGAGCTATGTCCCCAGTTTGGCTCTTCTAATACGGTTTCTTTTCAGTCATTTGATCTCTGTCTCATCTCTAATTATTATAAAGAATTAAAACAAATCATCATTGTAGAAAAGCAAGAAAATGCAGATAGAGAAAAAGAAGAAAATAAAACTGGAGTATTTCCACAACCCAGGTTTAGAGTTGGCCCCCACCTCCTGTGCCATGGACTGACCAGCAGGGGCCCAGCATCCCTTGCATATGGTGGCTGTGTTTTCATGTGAAAGAAACTGAACTTGGTGGTTTTTCCTGCCAGTTCAGAAGAGATTCTTGGCATGTAATATATATCATTGCACAAGTCAAGCCTCCTAAAACCACAGGCCTGTTTCAGCTGCTACTTCAGCCAAAATTCTTCAGCTTCATATTGTCTTGAAAACCTATGATTGTCTCTGACAAACAGGCTACTTGCCAGTTAGAAATTCTTATCAATTTGACAAGCTCCTTATCAACCAGACTGATCACAGGAACTGTCGTCTGATCAATGAAGGAGTAACTGATCAATGAAGCCAGCAATGCTTTTTTCTTGGCGTCATGAAAGCTGACATTTAGAAGAGATGCTGGTGATAGTCATCTCATTCTACTCAATTTTTCAAAGGCACAAACCAACCCTGGAGCAACTAAGAGGACTGTTTAAACACAGAGCTTAACAATGGCAGAATTTTATATCTCATGCTTAACAGATTTTGGTTGAACTTTACCCTAGGTCAGAGGTCAGCAAACTACTGCCTGTGGGCCAAATTTGCCCACCACCTGTATCTGTAAATAAGGTTTCATTGGAACACAGCTGTGGCCCTATGTTTTTATATTGTGTGTGGCTGCTTTTGCACTAGGATGACAGAGGTGAATAGTTGTAGCAGAAACTGGCTGGTCTGCAAAGCCTAAAATCTGTCCTGTGTGGCCCTTTACAGAAAAAGTTTTCTAACCCCTGCTGTAGGTTAATGAGAAAAAAAAAAAAAATGGAATAATGTTCCCTGCTACTTTTAACCTGATTTTCTTTGTTACCTAAATAGGCAGCTAGAATGCTGCCTATATTTTGATAAGGATTTGGATCTCACAAAACACCTTAGGCCTTGCACAAGTTGTTCAGATTCTTTGCCCCAGTTCTAATCCAGAGACAAAGGCATAGAATT